AGGAATCGTTCTTAACAAATAAATTGAGCAGTGTTATCGAACTATTGTGTTATTATTATTTTAGTAATACTTCAAAATGTCTAAAGAAAAAACTCAGTTAGTTTCTTGATATTGTTCTACTACTTGAACCAATAATTCTTCTAATTTAGTTTGGTCAACTGAACGAATCCATTTTTGAGGATTACCTAAGTGATAACTTGAAAACCAATCACAGATTGTTGCTCCACGGCCAAGTCCATCAACACAAATAGATGTTTCAACAACATCAGTATGGGTTATAATTTCAGGGAATAAATAGCACATCAAACATAGAGGATCAGGAATAACCCATCCAGTGTATTCCTTGTGTCCAGCAAATCCAATTTCTCTTAAATTTTTTTCATTAAGAGCATAAACTTTTCCAATGAGTTCACCACACTTATTAGTTGATTTAATTTTATCAAATACTTTCCAATCGACTAAGTGTTTTAAAGTAAGATCCCAAGATGAAATCACAGCATCTTTTACACTTCCAAATACAATTTTAGCTGACTCTGGGTCATAAGCACAATTGAATTCTCCTAGAGGTAAACTATTCCCTCTACAAGTTTCTGAGCCAATCATCATTTGGAAATGACCAATCATATTAAACAAGTTTGGTTCAATTGACACAGCAAGAGCAATATTTGTTAATGGGCCAATTGTAACTATATCTAATTCTTTACCATATTTCTTTGCTAAGTCAATAATTTCGAGTGCTGCATGACGGTTACTAGATGGCTTTAATTTTGTGTTTGGGACTTCAGCATTTCCAAAACCATCTTGACCATGACCAACAAATCTTTCCACTTCTACATGAAGTAAATTGTCTTTTGCCCCTGCATAAAATGGAATGTCGGTTCTTCCACAACATTCAAGCACTCTTCCAACATTATTTATTACGTCTATTATTAAGTACTAACTTTTCTATTTAAATCTTATTAAACAAACGATCAAGAGTGGTGTTTCCAACAACACAAGTGATTGCTACTAAATCAACTTTTTTTGACATTATAGTAAGTAAAATAGCAGTAGCATCGTCAACACCACAATCAGTATCAATGATTAGCTTTCTCATTGTGTAATAGTTTAAAACTTTTTTTTATTATTTTTGTAATTTTTATTTATTTGGTTATAAAAAAACAAATTTACTATTAAAACTCCTTCAAAAATAAGTTATTTATTTAAGAATATAATATCTTTTTTGATTGGTCAATTCTTCTAAAATTAATATTGTTTCATATTTTTATATCTTTTTACTTTTATTATTTTAAAAATAAATTGATAAATTTGGAGGAAAAGAATCATTATATTTGAAAGACTATCAAATAACCACAGTCCCATACGATAATATGCTGAATAATTATTGAAATAATGAAATGTCTTTTTGATATTAATAATTGTATTAAATTAATAGTTAATTAATTATATTTTTTTATTGTTTTGAATTAGATTAAATAAAAGTATAAATTGTAATTGTTTGTATATGATAACAAGTATGAGACTAAATAGAAAGGTGTTTATTATATTATTCAGTACGCAAGAAATAATTATAAAATACTGAAATCAATTCATTCTAACACAGAGTGAAGTAAATATAAATATTAGAAGAGTAATTTCGTTCAAAATATAACATTATCAATTATGTAATTTGTTTAAATAATACAACAGTTTATTAGAGATCAAAAGATATTAAAAGAAGTATTTTTATAGTTGGTTTATTGGTTTAATGTTATTGACTATAAACAACTAATAAATAATGAATAGTAAATAGGTCTTTTATATGAAATTTCTAAATTAATAGTTTTGTGTATTGAATAAAGATTATTTCTTTTTTCATTAGAATCTAATGTATCTAATTTAGATAAGTCTTATAAAAATATAGTTTATTTAATAGTTAAATAACTAATACAATATAATAAATAAAAAGTAACTGAACATAGATTATGCCCAATTTATATTCATCATAATTAAAGATAAATATAATGTAAACAGAAGAATAAATTTAATTAATTCATATAATAAGAATATAAAATAACCTAATTAAGAAAAAGGAAAGAATATTTTAAAGAAAGAAATAAAAAATAAAATGAATAAAGAATTTATTAACTAAAATAAGTTGTAGTACTTATTTTAAATAATACATTTATTTTTTATTATGAA